TCCTGCTGACAGGAGGGCTACAGTAGGTGCTCAAAGTGGGGATGGATGGCCTGGATACCCAGAAAGTACATTGTTGCTGAAAAGAGCTTTTGTAAGCAGGTAGAACGGGCTAGCTTTGGCATGCATGCCACTGAACCTTAACCCAAACTCCAGGAAGGAAAAAGTCTTAACGTGTTTTCTGCTAAAACAGTTTCTTTGGAACCAGCTCGATTTTTGGTGAATTTTCTAACTTGTGTTATTTCTCTTTTTTTCCTCCTTAGTACTCACAGAAATTAGATATAGCATCTTTGATCTCAGTAACTAATATCCATCCAGATGAAAATGGCTTTGCACAGTTCATCCTGATGCTGTCGGATGAAGAGCTAGAAGTGAAGGTACGAAAGGGAGAGCTGTGATTTGTAAACCACCCAGTGCTTTGCCATATTTCTTGCTGAGCTGCATTTTAATATGGGGGGTACAAGCTGCCTTTGTGGTCTCACCATGTGCAGCCTGCAGAGAGAGAGTACCCAAAGGTAGTTAAAGGTAGAGCAGAGGGAACTAATATCAGGGAAATTCCCCCTGTAGGCATTGGAGAGTTTTATTGCGAGTTATCTGGAAATATAAGTAAAGAATTGAACAAGAAAATATATGAGAGAAACCAGGAAGATCCACACGAATATACAACCCAAATGACTATAGATGCCTATAGCTTGGGTCATAGAAAAACATGCCCTTCTCCTTGGGTCATCTGTAAAACATAGAAGGGCAATAAAACATATATCCATACCCCCATCCAGAAGCCATAGTGGTCGGGTAGCCATAAGACTAGTTAGAAAGTTTTCTGCTGAGCCCCATCAGTCTCATTAGCTTTTTCTCCTGTTTGGATCCATACAAACTACTCCTTTTACACCAACACAGTCCCCGCTTTCTTACCGTCTCATACCTGAAACTGAAAATGGAGTATCAGGGAAGCGATGGGTTTCGGGACGTGAAATAGGCTGGTGTGGTTCTTTTAAAGGGATGAGTGCTATGGGAATCTCCCAGGTGAAAACACAGTACATTTTTTTGCTGCAGCTCTTCTTAAACTGTCATTTTCTCTTCTCT